TAGTAATAATAATAGTAATAATAATAATGATAGTTTTAAGTTGTTATAAATTTTTGAATTTGATTTCGTTCACATTATTCAATATATTGCTTGTTTACATAATCGAAATATATTTTTCCCACAACAGAATCCAGGTATAATCTAATTATAAATATATAACTATTGCATAACTAATAAAATTTTATACTTATACACAAGGATTCATATGATTATATCATCATTATCTGATAATTATCTTATAGTTATTCGGTGGTGCTTTACGAATGTTTCCAATTTGCATTCTATTGCATGCCATTTTGCGCTCGTATATCAAAAATAATAATGTGTATGCATGGTGGTATTAGTGAAAGTTTAGTTAATTTTTCACAGGTTCATTGTTAAACTTTTGCTTTGTTTGTTTGATTTTTTTTTCTAATAAACTATAAAATATTCTATTCTATTATATATTCTTATATTTCACTTTTTTTTTAGTTCTCATAAGATTTGGGAAAATAATACCAAAATTGAATTTCTGTTACATGCATAATCTTACTCTTTTTTCCTCTTAAAAAAATGTTAATTTTGTCCAAGAAATTATTTCAGTATTTTTCATAATTTACTAGTAATAATTTCATGCTGATAATTTGAAATCGGATACTTTCTAAAAATAAAGTATAAAAAAATTTCCAAGCCTTTTTAAAAATAAGATTTAATTCTTAAATTAAAATTTTACCAGATTGCAAAGATTGAACGACCTTGTGATATTCCGGATATGGGTTTGCTTGCTGATCTAACATGGTCTGATCCTGATCCAGCTATAGAAGGTTATGAAGAAAGTCCACGTGGTGCAGCAAGTTTATTTGGTATTGATGCATTGAAAACATTTTGTGATCAACTTGGACTCGAACTCATTATTCGAGCTCATCAGGTTCAAATGTTTTTCTTTTTCTTTTTTTTTTGTTTGCTCATTTCCTTTTCTAACAATTTTAACACAACCTCTCGAGTTGTATGGAAGCTTATCAGTCTGATAATAAGCCATAGCTCGAAGAAATCCTTTCATTTTTTGATATCATGTAATTTTTTTGCGAAATAATCAAATGATAAAAAGAAAAAAAAAGAAATTTCAGAAATATCCAGCATCTGCAATCAATGCAAAAACTCAAATGATAAAAATAAAGAAGATGAATATCAAAGTTATTTTATAATTAATTAGGATATATTATGCTGGAGCAAATTAGTAGATTGTTATCATCGAGGGTATTATTATTATCATCACCATTATCATCACTGTTGCAATCATTATTATTTATGTTTATTTTTATTTTTAGGTCGTTCAAGAGGGTTATGAATTTTTCGGAATCGTCGATTGGTCACCATATTTTCGGCGCCAAATTATTGTGCTCAATTTAATAATGCCGCATGTGTCATGAAAATTTCAGAAGATTTAGTAATTCTGTTTATCATTAGCAACTTTTCCTTAATCAATGATGAATTTTAAAAAAATTCAAATATTATCAACATAGTAAAAAATAAATCTTAAGCATGTAAGACTATGTATTATATATTAACAGTGGAAAAAAAATAATATTCTTTCTGAAATTAATCCACTGAATTTTCTACCAATACTTTTAAATATTCTATTTAGAAATTAATATAATGCGTTTTATTTTCCATTTTTCTTTTTGGTTTTTTCGTTTTTCGTTTTTTTTCCCATTTTGTTTTCAGGAAATTTCATTTGCCATACATCGGCCAATATGAACTTGGAATGATATTTTGCGTACTCATCAATTTCTAATAATAAAATATTATTTCAAAAAATAAACTTTTGCAATAAAACATCGAACTCTCATACACTCATTACACGTTGTTTTACAATTATCACAACTAACTTTATCGCTTTTTACAAAAAAAAAAAAAATAATATTCTCATTGTAATTGGATGTAAATCATATCAATATTATCATTTCTTTATAATTTTGATGATTTTAAATCAAATGAAGATTTCGTTGCGCCATTGCATCTGCTGCGTACACATGTAAGGGATTCACACAGATGAGAAACTATACATTTGTTCTATGTGCAAGAAAAATTTCTCTCAATCAATATAATGAGAAATTACATGAAGATTCATGATAGCCCTAGATTTCAATTTCACTGTATGAAAGTTTTCCTGTCGAAATCCTATTTGAAATCACATATAAGGAAGAATCACGTAATGGGCTGATAGACGCATTTTAAACCGAAATTATACATTACTATTTTGTTGTATTTTCCACACGATAAATTCATTTTTCCTTATTGTATTGTTAGCATTCTATTGCTTTATATGCATATTAGAATTGTTCCTCTATGATTTCTTTATTATCTCTCTTATCTCAGTGAATAAAATTCCCCACTTCATGTCTACTTGCACTTTACTAAACAGCTTTTTCATTACCAATGCATATATGAAAAGCAGGTAACTTGCATGTCATGCATAAAGAACTTGCAATTAAGTGTCACTATTGCTAAATTATTGATGAAATCATATTGTCTCATATGAGTTTCTCACTCGATTATTGCATAAACAACATGGAAATAAATTTTTGGTAACGAAAAAGCTTTTCTTAATCACAATACTTGAAGTCTCTTATCATTTCACAGAGTTACCCACCCATTTCGTTTATCGACTACAGTTCCATTGCAATGTTCCGTCGAAGACAATAGGCATTTCAGTTATGCCATTTGCAAGTAACATTTCATACAGTTGATAATCCATCCCAACTACGGACTCATAACAGTGAATTGCCGAATAGTTAATTCGCAAAAATAAACAAATATTACATTTCTTAGCTAAAAAATATAGATACAAAAGTAAAAGGAAAGAAAATCCAAAATTTTAAATATTGCAATTTACTGTTAAATGATCCAAAAACTCTGCAGTGAAAATTAAGTTTCAAATTTTTCAACTTTGAAAAAAAAAAACAACGAATACTTATATCAGCAAGATTTTAAATATATCGAAAAAAAATGTAATCTGTCAAATTTAATGTCTCATTAATTTTCATATCATTAGGACATGAAGCCTACTTATTCTCAGTACAACTTGTTTGCTTCTGTATGTTTGATAGATTTTGTCCGTGTGACAATCTTCTTACGATCAATTTATATTTCAGCAAAGCAATCCCAATAAGAAATAACAATTTTATGATTTTTAATTAAATGTCATTTGAAGAATCAAAGTCTATCTCCTTTGCGTTTGTTTAAATGTTTTCAGTTTTTTCCTGTAGGCTTCTAAATATCTTTTTCCCTCTTCATACCATCAATTTTCTTACTATTCATATTTTTGCTCTCGGGTTTTTCTTTCATTACTAAAAGCTGTTGACTATGAAAAATTGACTAATGTCAAATCTACCCTAGTGACCGGGAGAATGATGACAATAAAATTACGCGACACTTTGATGCTAAATTCGATGGTTGAACACTGATGAGAGTGAAACTTTATATTAACTGACTATTTAACCCACTATCACTTTTCTTTTCTTGATAATTTTCTCAACCAACGATCTTTTGAATACAACATCCTATGTCAAAATTGTATTTCAGTAATCCAAAAATTTCAAGAAATGAAATTTAATATGAAATTATTAACCCTTGAAATTAGAAGGTTTAATTTGAAATGGATCGATAAGGATGAAATATTTCATCAACAATATATGATGACTTAAAATTTTTCTTTGCATATAGAATAGGTGAATTGGTCAACATTAGTCAACATTGGTCAAATTTCAATATTATTATTTATATTATTATTATTAAGCTGATCATGAATCGTGAATGAAAATAGTTGATCATACGAAAATAGCTGGTCGTGGAAAAGCAACTGGAAAATGGCGAATTAGTAAATTAGCAAAAGAATTAGCAAAACCTATCCGAAAAAATACTCGCAAATACTTTAGCTACGAATACGAAGACTAAAGATGCGGTGTCCGAAGGAGTAATTCATGATATTATTCAGCATGCATAAATTGAAAGCATTAATTACAAGTGATGAAGCAATATAGTTTTTCCCTCTCGTTAATATTATTTTAGTTTCGAAAAATTTGAAAAATTGAAGTGAAAGGATATTAAACTGGGCAAATAGTTTTGGGAGAGATTTGCATAAATTAATTATTTTTCACAATGCAATATGGCAGCTGTAAAAAAATTATTCAGTGTGAAGAATTTAAACAGTGTTTGCCATTATACATTACTTTTTGCCATTATTATATTGCTGCGTGCAAGTCATTGATATACGTAGCTAGACACTCCCATCAAAATTAACAAATATATATATGTTCTCTGACCAATACCTAACAGATGTAATTGGGTGGTATCTATCAAACTGTCTGCCACTATTTCATTTATTTCGACAGATAATGTCAGCCGTTTTTCAAAGTTTAATGTCAAGAGATTTCAGAGCTTCACGATAACACTCGCTTTTTCAAACAAAATTGTCTTTTATTGAAATTACTTATAACTATGCAAGTTTGCACGAATTCTGCTTTGGAATACTTGTAACCAGTCTCCGACATGAATAACTTGTTGTATTTGACGTGAGAGATGTTCGCATTATATGCACAATGAATTCGTGCCGATCTCTTTAAATGCTAATATACTTAAA